TTCAGGTCCATACGGCGGCATTGCAGCCGCTTTAATCTGGGCAATTTTTTTTTTTAATTCGTCTTGATTTGACGCTTTAGTGACTGCAGGAATCCCATACTCTCTGATTCTTTCGGTAAAGTCACGTGGGTAGAAATAAATAAAACAGATCGCGACGTTTCGGGCGCAGCACAAGCGTCCGTCATCAGGTGGCGGACCCTTTGCGTTGCGCCGGAAACGTCGCGATTTGTTTAATTTGACACCTCCGTGAGTTTACCGAAAGAACCAAAGAGTGAGTAATCATTTGTCTGTGCGTGTCTCTCCCTTGCGATGGGACTTTGTAGGATGCACGTTGAGATTTACAAGAGGGCACGGGGGGTGACCAGCACGGTCTGAGTTGGTCTGTAATAAGGTAGCGGCGCTGGTATAAGGGGGTCGACAGCTGTGCAAGCCGCCGTGCCCCGGCCGCTCCCCGCCAAATCGTGGCTCATTGCGGAGCGCACGCGAGGCTGGAGCCGCAGGAAGTTGACCTGACGCACAAGTCGAGAAAAACGGTGGTTGCACGTCGATGAAGGACGACGATGACGATGACGACGATGATGACGATGACGACTACGATGATAACGATGATGATGATGACGATGACGACGACGATGACGACGACGATGACGACGAAGACGACGATGATGATGACGATGACGACGATGACGACTACGATGACGACGACAATGATGACGACAATGATGACGACGATGACAACGACGACGACGACGATGACTGTGCTGTATACGCAACTGCGCACAATTCTGTGAGTCGCTTATAACCGCTTTGCCGTTACTTGTTGCCAATTATGGACTCAGACTATTGTCCTATCAGCTCATCGAGTCCCTGGCACGTAATAATATGCTACACAGTGGCAGTGGGGGTCGCAAAATGCCGAATTATTACTAATAAACCCCAATGATCCGATCGAAATTAGGGATTTCGATCGGATCATTTGGGGGGGGGGGGGGGGCACGTGCCACCCCCTCCCGCCATGGGGATGGTTTTTGGTTTTGTTTGTATGCGTTTGGGTGATTTGTTTACCTTTTACGTGTTCATCTTCTTGGTTCTTTCGGTAAAGTCACGTAGAAGGGAAGTAATAAAATAATAAAAATAAAACATAATAAACATTTTTTTTATTATTTTATTAGGTTTTATTTTAATTATTTTATTACTTCCCTTCTACGTGACTTTACCGAAAGAACCAAGAAGATGAATCCCTGCAGTCACGAAAGCTTCAAATCGAAACTTTTACGTGTTGTCAATGTTTGTTCGTTGTGACGCTATGACCCCAAGTGCTATTTCGCTCCCCAAGTATAAAGACAATATTCTCATTGCTATCTTGCATAGCCCCCCCTCCCCCCCCCCCCCCCCCCCAAGGCTTCAACATCATAATTATAAATTGATCGGCTGTGCCCCCCACCTCACCACCTATCACACGTGGCTTGCCAATTGTCTTAACCGTGGCCCGCCACCCATCCGCAGCGGGGCGAGTGGATTTCAGAATTGTTTCCGCCGTCAATTCGACGGGCGAATGTGTTATTTTTTTTTTTTTTATATATAAACAGCGTAGATACATTGGTATGAATGTAAGAGATTGACAACGGCCGGTCTTGTCTCCCGCACACGCGGGCATCCAACATCTCGCGGTGTTGGTCCTAGCGACGCTGTCAGGCGGCGTTTTACTGAGCGAGCGGTTCAACTTTGTGGGTTTCATCAGCAATTCGTTGTCAGGCTTGTCTCACAGGGGCTACAAACCCTCCCACCGCTTCAAATGTATGTGTCTCATCAGCAGTTCGTCGGCAGGCTCGTCACGCAGAGGCTACAAACCCTCCCACCGGTTCAACTTTGTGTCTCATCAGCTGCATGGAGTCGGGCTCGTCACAAACAAAGGCTACAAACCCTCCCACCGGTTCAACGTTATGGGCCTCATCAGCAGTTCGTCGCAGGCTCGTCACAGGCTGCTGGGTCAGTGGTAAGCGATGGGGCTCTGGTGGCGAGGGGCAGGCGCGTGCGTGAGTTCGCGTTGTTTCGCAGCGGTTTGTGTTTTCACAACCCCCCCCCCCCCCCCCCCTTTTACAACATGAATGGAAACCGCGTTCATGAATTAAAGACGGTGAGAGAATTGCACCCCTCCCCCCGCACCGCCCATGCGTGTCCCCGACCCTTGTGGTTGACACCCACGGCCCGCTTGGTGGGACAATGTTGGGCCGCTGTAAAGAGGCGTTCCACGTGACTACAATGATGACGCTGACGATGACGACGCTGATGACGATGCTGATGACGACGATGCTGATGACGATGCTGATGACGACGATGATGATGACGATGGCGTTGGCAATGACGACGACGACGACGATGATGATGACGATGATGTTGGCGATGACGACGACGACGATGACGATGGTGATGACGATGGCGATAACGATGACGATGCGGTGACCACCGTCTTTGTTCGACGGCTCAGCCAGAAGCCGCGTGCTTCCGCCACTGCGAGGACGACGATGAGCGGAGTTCGCGTGATGGTGGTGGTGGTGGTGATGGTGGTGGTGATGGTGGTGGTGGTTGATGCCCCTTGAGACCAGCAGCGAGGCATCCTCGTGGTTCTCATTTGAATCGCCGTCGACCCGTGCGGTTTGTCATCCCTGTGTAATAATACTCTTGGAGACGGCTTGTGGAATCGGTCCTTTTATTTACTTATTTCAGTTCACAAGCACTCCCCGTCGCTGGCAGGCAACGGGGAGTGGGCAGACAGATCGCAAGAGACGCACCGCCACGTGGCACTCGGAGCCCCGCTCGCGCGCGGCCCCTCTTTCTCTCTCTTCGTTCCTCGTCTGACCCCGTGTCCCTCGGCTCTCCCCTTATTTAACGCCTGGGTCACGTGGTACGCTCCAGCCAATCCTCACTCGCCTGCGCTGAATGTTCCAGATTCCCCCATCAACTCCCGGGACCACGCCCCTGACTTGTCTTCCTATTGGCTGAGGCCAAGACCAGCAGAACCAATCACCCTAGCTGACATCCCTCGATCACGCCAGGGCTATGCTCCCGGGCTCTCCCCCCATTGGCTGTAGAGCAGGACCGGCAGAGCCGATCACCACGTGAGCCGGACATAGGCTCTCATTACACCTGTATATCGGTGCCCGACTTTATTACAGGCCAACTCAGACCTTTTTGGTCAACCCGTGCCCTCTTGTACATCTCAACGCTCATCCTACAGTCCCATCACGAGAGAGAAACGCAGACAAATAGAGAAAGAAACCCCACGTGGGGTTTGCCCGCATTGAAACGGCTGTAACGCCGTATGGATCTGAACACTCAATTTCCCTGTACAAGAATCCGGCGTAAACCGTACGGGTTCACATGGTATGATACACTACACTACTATACACTACACTATGCACTACACTACTATACACTACACTATACACTACACTATACACTACACTATACACGACACTATACACCACTACTATACACTACACTATACACTACACTATGCACTACGCTATGCACTACACTATGCACTACACTATGCACTATGCTATACACTATGCTATGCACTACACTATACACTACACTATACACTACACTATACACTGCATTACACTATGCACTACACTATACACTACACTATGCACTACGCTATACACTACACTATGCACTACGCTATACACTACACTATACACTACGCTATGCACTACACTATGCACTACGCTATACACTACACTATACACTACACTATGCACTACACTATACACTACACAATACACTACACTATACACTACACTATACACTACACACTATACACTACACACTATACTATACACTACACTACACTATACACTACACTACTACATACCTGTCAACCCCTACCTTTTTACAGACCAACTCAGACCTTATTGATCACACCACGTGCCCCCTAATACTGTACATCTCAACGTTCACCCCACAAAGTCCCATCGCAAGCAGATAAACACAAACAAGCAAATAGACACAAACACATTTGTGTTATTGCCCGCATTGAAACGCCGCCGTACGGGGCTGCAAAACTCAAATTTCTCCGCGCAAGAATCCCGTGGTAAACCGCGCCCATCGATTACTGCTCCACGTAGCGTGCTAAGCGTCGTGACGTCACAATGAAAGCTGACGTCACAATAAGAGCCGACGCCATTTTCGCGTTGCGTCCGTGACGTCGCTACGCCACCGAACGGATCGGATTTGCGTCAGCGACGTCATCGCGTGCCGCACGAAGCGTCCGTGACGTCATCGCGTCACCCAAAGCGTCCGTGACGTTCGCGCGCCAACCTCACGTAGCGTTCGTGACGTAATCGCAGCCCAACCTCAGCGAAGCGTTCGTGACATCATCGCGGTCACCTCTGCGTCCGTGACGTCACCGCAGCCACCTCAACCGTACGTGACGTCATCGCGTGCAGCCTCGGCGAAGCCTCCGTGACGTCACCGCGCGGCCACCTGACATCGCGTGCCGCTTCTGCGAAGTGTCCGTGACGTCATCGCAGCGTTACCTCAACTGTCCGTGACGCCACCGCGCGGCCACCTGACATCGCGTGCCGCTTCTGCGAAGTGTCCGTGACGTCATCGCAGCGTACCTCAACTGTCCGTGACGTCACCGCGCGGCCCACCTGACATCGCGTGCCGCTTCTGCGAAGTGTCCGTGACGTCATCGCAGCGTAACCTCAACTGTCCGTGACGTCACCGCGCGGCCACCTGACATCGCGTGCCGCTTCTGCGAAGTGTCCGTGACGTCATCGCAGCGTAACCTCAACTGTCCGTGACGTCACCGCGCGGCCACCTGACATCGCGTGCCGCTTCTGCGAAGTGTCCGTGACGTCATCGTAGCGTAACCTCAACCGTCCCGTGACGTCACCGCGTGCCGCCTCGTCGGAAACCTCCGTGACGCGTTCGCAGCCCCAACCCAACCACGGCGTCCGTGACGTCATCGCGCGGCTGCCACCAAATGACGTCATCGTCCAGACAGGAACGTCCCCTCGCCGAACGCAGCGGCCGCCTCGACTCATCGCTGAGGAGATCGTCGTCGTCTCACGAGAAATAAAGATAAAGAGAAGAGAATGGCCTCGTACCGGCTGCGCTGTTCGATCCCGGCACACGACATGGACGTGCGCGGCGTGACGCCGCTGCCGAACGCGGCGAGCGGCGGTTTCGCTTCGGTGTCTCGCGACCGCACCGCCTGCCTCTGGGTCCCCGCCGCGGGCCCCGGGTGAGTGTGCGGCGGCGGCGCTGCTCAGGCAAGGCGCTAGGGCCCGTGGGGATAACGAAACTTAGGCCTCGTCGTCGCTTGCGTGATTTATTCACCTGCTGGATGGATACGCAAGGCAACCATCTCCATCCCCACTCCTTCTTAATTATCCTTAATTAACGAGGCTTCACCGTCGTCCCCTTGTTGTGTAACTTTCTTCAATGCGGGGGGGAGTTCGTAACGCAACCACCATTGACTTTGTGAGGGTCTTCTCCGCTGCTGGATGAAGGGGAGCCAGCGAGGCGCGCAGTCGTCAACAACGTCAACACTTTCACGCGGAGCCGGCGTCGTCGTTGACTTTCGCGCTCAAATGTTAATCATAGTTGAGTGGGGGGGGGGGGGCGTATTAAACAATGTGTGTGTCGTTAAACCGGCCACCACCCGACACGGCTGGGTTTGTGTCGCGTAAACACAACCATGGGCGCCAATTTGTTACGAGGATAGAGCACCACCACCACCACACCACCAGCACCACCACTAGCACCACTAGCACCACCAGCACCACCACCAGCAGCACCACCACCACCAGCAGCACCAGCAGCACCACCACTAGCACCACTAGCACCACCACTAGCACCACTAGCACCACCACCACCACTAGCACCACCACTAGCACCACTAGCACCACCACTAGCACCACTAGCACCACTAGCACCACCACTAGCACCACCACCACACCAGCACCACCACCACACTAGCACCACCACTAGCACCAGGACCACCACACCAGCACCACACTACACCAGCACCACCACACCAGCACCACCATCACTCTACCAGCACCACCACCAGCACCACCACCACACCACCACCACTCCACCAGAACCACACCACCAGCAGCAGCACCACTACACCATCACACCACCACCACCCACCACCACCACACCACCAGCACCACCACCAGCACCAGGACCACCACCACACCACCACCACCAGCACCACCACACCACCACCAGGACCACCACCACACCAGCACCACCACCACACCACCACCAGCACCAGGACCAGCACCACCACCCCACCACCACCCCACCACCACCAGCACCACCCCACCACCAGGACCACTACCCCACCACCACACCGGGCTTTGTTGTTGTGTGTTGGAGGGTTAAAGCCGCCACCGCAGCGTTGACGATTCGAGTAGCCGCGTGACGTTCCGTTCGCACTTTATCCGTCGCTTTAAGACGAGGATGATGAGGAGGAAGACGATGCTGATGATGATGGTTGTCACGTTCCTCTCTTCATTCCGAGCTGAACGATGTCAAATGCCCGCTGGCAGGTCACGGGGCAGACCCAGGTGCCACGGGTCGACTGACTGAGATGAGTAGCTGATGCACCATCTGTGCCCCCTACTGTGCCAACTTGCTGTGCTTTAGCCACCCGGCGCTCCGCTCGTTGTTGTGAGCATCGCTCCTCCGCCCTCCGTTGTTGTTGGAGGGCGACTGCCTCCAACTGCCCAGCAGCGTCCTTCGCGAGCCTCCTCCACTGAGGCCGATCCCGAAACACACACAGACACTTGCGCCAGGCCACATCATCGTCATGATGCCCAATTATACGTCAGTACATTCTTGATTTGAAGCTTTCGTGACTGTAGGAATTACTCTTTGGTTCTTTCGGTAAAGTCACGTATAAAGAAAAAATGAACGAAATAATAGATCACGACGTTAGTTCGTTGTTGCCGCGATTTTGCATTCAGGTGGCAAGCGGAGTTGGAATCATCGCTGCGATGATCTGAATCGTCGCGTGATGTCATTTATGGACGGCCCCTAAGCGAGAATCGCCGATACGGCATAGGAACACCTTGGGACCGACCTGCCTACCTGATCGTTAATCTCGACGGAGAGAGAGCGAGCGTGAAAGCTGTCATTTTTCGATTTAAAGCTTTCGTGACTGCAGGGATTCATCTTCTTGGTTCTTTCGGTAAAGTCACGTAGAAGGGAAGTAATAAAATATTATATTATTGTATTATTTTATTATGTTTTATTTGTATTCTTTTATTACTTCCCTTCTACGTGACTTTACCGAAAGAACCAAGAAGAAAAAAGCTGTCATTGGCAACTGCTAATCAAATCGAAAGTATGCAACGCAGAAGTTTAAAAGTGTCGCGGATTCTTTTTAAGTGTTGGTTTTAGTGTTTTGTACGCAACCAATAATGTTAGGTAAAACTATAACACGTTTTCTTAATTTTACTAGGTATGGCCCACAGACCTTTTTATCACAAACGATAGCTCAACGAAGTGGGCTTATTATCATCTTCATCATCCTGTGGTAGGTTATAGCAGCGGCCAAGTAACTCTAAACGCGTGACGTCGATTCTAAATGTGGAGGGGAAAAAAAACGGAGGACCCGGTAGAAAAATCCACGCGACCACGGGGGGAGAGAGAGAGACGCAAACCCCAAACATACAACAGGCATCGTCAGGGTCGGGATCGAACCCACGACCTCCTGTATACCAGGCAAGGGAGTTAACATCTCCTAGCCACCGTGATGATGATGAGAGAGAGAGAGACACGCAAACTCCACATATACAGCAGGCGTCAGGGTCGGTATCGAACCCACGACCTGTACACCAGGCGAGGGAGTTAACATCTCCTAGCCACCATGGCGCCCGGCTCGGTTCCCGGAGCCACGTTGTAGAGCAGCAGAGGGCAGTTGCGACAACATTCGTTGTTGTTACGCGATTCCATGCTCCCAAATGTACATGCTCCCCCGATTTGATCCCCAGTTTGGTCAAACAACCGCTGGAGGCAGTGGATTAAGAGAAAGGGGACCCCGCTCTGTGCGTGTGCTAATAACGCGAGGGGGGCTGACCGCCCTGATTTGGCGGCACAATTTGTTCGGACGGATCCCGTTGTGATCCTTAAGCACGTAGGTAATAAAAAGTCACGTAGGTAAAAAAAAATTAATTAAAATTAAAAACAAGTATAACCCGTAAAAACAAGTTTTTCACTATAAATCCTTTACATGCGTGGCGGCTAGAGTCCTCTCGTCCTCTGGCTTGAGATGGCTGCCACCTATGGGTCAGATGATTGCATGGCAGCATTAAGCAATTGGTAATTAAATATAATATTTTTGTCCTAAAAAGTGTAAATTTTGGAAAAAAAATTTCACGAACATTAATTGTCACGCACAACGAGTCTGTGTGGAAAATGTCAGCTCGATTGGATCACGGGAAGTGAGTTAAAAAACGACCGAAAGATTTGCACGGTCCTAAGCAAGCAAGCAAGTGAACTTAATATAAAGGATTTAAAAACAATAAAATCACGACGTTTCGGAGGCAACACAAGCTTCCGTCTTCAGGTGAAGCTTGTGTTGCCTCCGAAACGTCGTGATTTTATTGTTTTTATTAATTTTAATTTCATTTTTTTTTACCTACGTGACTTTACCGAAAGAACTAAGAGGGTGAATCCTTGCAGTCACGAAAGCTTCAAATCTAGAATCCTTAAGCACGTTCCTCAAGCGTCAAAGCAAAACACGAAATAAACCAAGGGGGCGAATTTGACGGCCTCAAAGGTTTTTGCACCCTTAGCCCTGGCGCAAACGCTGTAGGGTGACATCCACCGCCACTTAAGGATCATGATCGGAATCTGTATTATTTATACCAGAGGAATCCGATGAGCTTTCAAGCTCTTGATTTTCACAGATGACCAGGAGGGGCACGGGGTAAGAACGTCACGACAACAGACAGTACAAAAACATGATAGGAGTGCAGAGTACAAGAAAACAAATCACTCAAAACACATCCAAATACAACAATAAACCATCCCCCTCCTACCAGGCAAAGCCCACCGACCCTGCCCACAAATGATAGCTCAAAGTGGCCCATCATTTGGGCATCTATATCAGCCAAAATAATCTAAATAATCTTAGTGGCGGATGGCAGCTACTGATGCCGTTGTGTGTGTGTGCGCGTGTTACCCTGTGTCTTTGCGTCCTCAACTATTCTGCCCGCCACGTGCACGCGCGTGTGTGCGCGTGTGTCCGCGTGTGTGCGCGTGTGTGTCCGCGTGCGTGTGTGTGCGTGTGTCCGCGTGTGTGCGCGTGTGTGTCCGCGTGTGTGTGCGCGTGTGTCCGCGTGCGTGTGTGTGTGCGTGTGTCCGCGTGCGTGCGTCTGCGCAGGTCCGAGTTCCGCGAGGCGGCCCGCTGGAAGGCGCACGACGCGTTCGTGTCGTGCGTGTGCGCGCTGCCGCCCTCCGCCGACTTCCCCGCGGGCCTCGTGGCGACGGGAGGCCACGACGGGCACGTGTGCGTCTTCGCGGCCGACGCCCTCGGCCCCGCGTCGGTTCCGCTCTACCGGCTCGAGGGCCACGGCTCCACCGTGTGCTGCCTGGCGGTGGGTGGTGACGGCGACGACGGCGGGGGCGGCGGCGCCGTGCCGGCGTTGGCGGGCGTGCTCGTGAGCGGGTCGTGGGACGCGACGGCGCGGGTGTGGCTCCGGGACAAGTGCGTGACCACGCTGCAGGTCTGTCTGAGCGTGTCGCCTTTGTGCGCCGCCTCGCAGTGCGCATCGCCTGGCACGGGCGCCGTGGTTGACGTCACCGCAGCTTGGTGGCGAATGGCGGTTGTTGTTTGTTGTTGTTGCTGTGTGTGTGTGTGGTGTGTGCGCTTGCTGCCGTGTGCTTGTGTGTCTTTGCGTGCAGTGGCATGTTTTGCGTGTGTGTGTAGTGGCATCTTTGTGTGTGTGTTTGGGTTGTGGGGAGCGGTAGTGCCGCGGTTAGCGCGCTGCGCTACGAACCCGGCGACCCGGGTTCGATTCCCGCTCACAGCCAACACCCAGTGACGATTATCTGAACCGGTCTTGGGCCTCCCCTCGGTAGACTCAGCCTGAATTGAGTGGCTGGTGCAATGTGTAAACATCACCACTGGGGAGACAAAAGCAGCCGGGCGTGGTGCTGGCCACCCACCCCCTCGAGTGCCGTGCCGGCCTTCATAGGTGCTCGCTAACAGCGATTGCTCCTACAGTCTGGTAAGGCTACACGGGAGATCTGTCTCGTTTGTTTGGGTCTTTGTGTGCGTGTGTGAGTCTCTGTGTCTGTGTGATTCTGTGCTTGATGCTGTGTCTTAGCATCGGTGTGCTTTGTGTGCATGTTTAAACGATGCCGTGTCTTGTGTAGTGGTTAGCGCGCTGCGCTACGAACCCGGAAATCCGGGTTCAATTCCCGCTAATGGCCACTAACCAGCGACGATTATCTGAACTGGTCCTGGTGCCACGAGCACTTTGTGCGGGCATGTTGACACCGCCACTAGGCTGGCCAGCATGGCACTGGCCACCCACCCACCCCCCCTCGTGTGCCGTGCAGCTCCGCTAATAGCACTTGCCCCAACAGTCCGTTAAGGCTATACGCGGGGCGTGGTCTTTGTCTTTGCACACCTGCATGTGCGCGCGTGTGCGTCCAGGGGCACGGCGCGTCGGTCTGGGCAGTGAGCGTGCTGCACAAGCAGGGCGCCATTCTCACCGGCTCGGCCGACAAATCCATCAAGATGTGGAAGGCAGGCCGCTGTGAGGTCACCTACACGGGTAAGGCCGGAGGCTTGCGGCCGTCGATCCGTGACACATCCATCCGCTACATTCCATCTGTCGCAGTCCATACGTTGCAATCCATCCGTCGCAATCCATCCGTCGCAATCCATCCGTCGCAATCCATCCGTCGCAATCCATACGTCGCAATCCATACGTCGCAATCCATACGTCGCAATCCATACGTCACAATCCATACGTCGCAATCCATACGTCGCAATCATACGTCGCAATCCATCCGTCGCAATCCATCAGTTACAATCCATCAGTGACAGTCCATCCGCCACAATTTATCTGTCACAATCCGTCCATTAAAATCCATCCGTTAAAGTCCATACGTTACAGTCCATATATTACAATCCATCCGTTACAATCCAACCATTGTAATCCATCTTTTACAATACATTTATTGCAATACAACCATTATTATTCATACATTGCAAGCCAAACATAAAACTTGAAGCTAGTCATCCATTTGAAAAAACCACCGATTACAATCCATCTAACAACGATCAGGATAACAACAACCCGGCCACGTGAGTTCGATTCCTGGCCGCGATTTACACCGTTAACGCGGGTAATATCCGAACCGGTCCTGGGCCTCCCCTAGGTCGACTCGGCCGCGAATGAGTACCTGGTGCGGTGCGTAGTAAAACATCGCCACCGGGGAGACAAAGGTGGTGTGGGCCACAACCCCCACCCCCTCGTGTGTGCCACAGTGCCGGCCTTCACAGCCGCCGCTGCTGCTGCTGCTACTCGCCAAGTGCAACTCGCCCCAACGGTCTGTGAGAGGGGCTACGCGATTGGAAGCTTTTGTCTGCGTCGTTCACAGTGGATCTTGTTGCTGGGTGTAGATCGCGTGAATATGAACGTGTCTCGATGTAAAGCTTTCGTGACTGCAGGGATTCATCTTCTTGGTTCTTTCGGTAAAGTCGGTAAAGTCACGTGACTTTACCGAAAGAACCAAGAATATGAACGTGTCGTTAAACGCGCCACCACCACCTGACACGGCCAACGAGTGAGGGAGTTTTGTGTCGCGTGAATAAAGCGTGGCCAATCCGTTACTCGTACAGCACACACACCGGTTGCGTGCTGGAGGGTCAAAGCCACCGCAACATTTACGGTTCCCGGCGCGACGTTTCGCCGGCAGTCGCAGCCGGCGTTTGCGCTTGACGCGATCTCACCCGTTGGCGGCGAGAAGCCTCCTCCCGCTTACGCGCTTAGTAGACCGCCCTCTGTCGTCGTCGCCGCCCGCGTTGTGTCTCGCCAAAAACTCAAGGCCACGAGGATTGCGTGAGGGGCCTCGTGGTTCTGGGCGGCGGCGAGGAGTTCCTGTCGTGCAGCAACGACAGCAGCGTGCGGCGCTGGGCGCTGGCGGGGCCCTGCCTCTCGACGCTCTACGCTCACACCAACTACGTCTACTCCATCTGCCTGCTGCCCAACACCTCCGGTGGGTGGGGGACACGCGGTGGGGGGACACGGGGGGGTGGGGGGGGGGGACACGGGGGGGTGGGGGGGGGACACGGGGGGAGATGTGCACGGGCAGACAAGGATGGAGACATGCACGGGGGGAGACGGGGGGCAGGTGCACGGGGGGAGACGGGGGGGGGAGGTACACGTGGGGAGAGATACGCAGGGGGGGGGCGGGGGGGGTGGTGAGACACGCACAGGGAGAGACACGGAGGACGGACGGGGAAACACGGGGGAACCACACACGGGCAGACAAGGGCCACGCGGGGAGATACGGGGGTGGGGGGGTCAGATACGCACAGGGGGAGACGGAGGGGGGGGGGAGACACGGGGAGAGACGGTGTGCACGCGTGTATGTGCACGCGTGTATGTGCACGCGTGTATGTGCACGCGTGTATGTGCACGCGTGTATGTGCGTGCAAGGTTCGTGACGGGACGAGAGGACCGCACAGTACACTCGAGCGTGCGTAACCGTGCGTATGTTAACCCGCGTGCATGCGCGTGCGTGCGTGCGTTTGTAACTGCGTGTGCGTTAATCCACGCGTGCGTGTGCGTGCGTGCAGGGTTCGTGACGGGAGGAGAGGACCGCACGGTCCGCGTGTGGCGCGGCGAGGAGTGCGTTCAGACAGTGCGCCTACCGGCCCAGTCCGTGTGGAGCGTTTGCGCTCTGCCCAACGGCGACATCGTGGCCGCCACCAGGCACGTCCACGCACGTCCACGCACGCACATCGGGGGAGTTGAACCGGTGACCTCGAGTATTCACCAGGGCGGCCGTAAGATTCTACTACGATACTATTCGTGCTCTCGGTTCTTTCGGTAAAGTCACGTAGGTAAAAACGTTTACCGAAAGAACTAAGAGTATGAATCCTTGCAGTCACGAAAGCTTAAAATCTAGAATTAATACGATGCTATTTTTTTTATTTGACCAGGTAAGGCCCCACTGAACTTCATAGCTTTTTTTAAATCCTTTATATTACGTTCGCTTGCTTGCTTGCGCGCTTACGACCGTGCAAATCTTTCGGTCGTTTTTTAACCCACTTCCCGTGATCCAATCGAGCTGACATTTTGCACACAGACTCGTTGTGCGTGACAATTTATTTTCGTGAAAAAAAAATGTCAAAAATGTTTCACTTTTTAGGAAAAAAAAAATGTCATATTTAATTTAAAATACCAATGTTATAAAAATGAAACTCTTACTCAAGAAAAACAGAAATGAATAATAAAATAAAACCGATGCCACGCATATAAAGGATTTATAGTGAAAAACTTTGTTTTTACGGGTTAATTTTTTAGAAACGACCCTGACCATCACAAATGATAGCTCAACCAAGTGGCTAATCGTCGTTTGAAATTTAGAGCAGCCAAATAATCTATAAACGTGTTGACGTTGATTCTGAATAACGGAGGGGGAAAACCGGGAGGACCCGGAGAAAAATTCCACGTGACCACAGGGGGAGAGAGCGAGAGACAGACACCGCAAACTCCAAATACACAGCAGCAGGCGTCGTCTGGGTCGGGATCGAACCCACGACGACCTCCTGCGTACCGGGCGAGGTCGTTAACATCTCCGAGCCACCGTGATGATGATGAGAGAGAGAGACACGCAGACGTCAGGGTCGGGATCGAACCCACGACCTCCTGTAGACCAGGCGAGGTAGTTAACATCTCCTAGCCACCGTGATGATGATGACAGAGACACGCAAACTCCAAATATGCAGCAGCAGCAGGCGTCGTCAGGGTCGGGATCGAACCCACGACGACCTCCTGCGTACCGAGCGAGGGAGTTAACATTCCCGAGCCACCGTGGCGCCCGATTTTAAATGGCGAACGCTTCTGCGACGAGCCGCGTCAGCGCCGCGCTGGGCCACGTCACCGCCCAGGCCGACCCGAGCGCCGTTTCTTCACGTATTGTGTCTTTGCCCGTCGGTTCGCCGGCGCCAACAGCGACGGGCGCGTGCACGTGTTCACGGAGAGCGAGGAGCGAGCGGCGCCAGCCAGCGAGCAGCGCGCGCTCGAGGAAGAGCTGGCGGGCAGCGCCATCGACCCCAAGACCGGCGACCTCGGCGACATCGGCAGCAGCGAGCTGCCCGGGCGCGAGCACCTCGACGAGCCCGGTAAGGAGGGTGGGGGGGCGGGGAGGGGGGGGCTGAGCCGCCCCCCCCGTGCCCCCCCGCCACCAACCCCCATGTATTTCCTGGGGACAGAGCCAGGAGGGTTTTCCCCTCCACATTTAGAATCGACGTCACGCGTTTAGAGAGTTTCGCCGCTGCAATGAATGTGCGCACGCGGTGATGGTAAGCCGTCACTTCGTTGAGCTATCATTCGTGATGGGCCAGGTCGCTTCTGAAAAAAAGCCGTTATAGATAAGCGGGCTTTACCTGTAAAATTTAAATAGTTTAATTTAAATTTCGATTTAAAGCTTTCGTGACTGCAGGGATTCATCTTCTTGGTTCTTTCGGTAAAGTCACGTAGAAGGGAAACAATAAAATAATGAAAATAAAACATAATAAAATAATTATCACGACAGCGTCTCCCCGACAGACCTGGTCTTCACCTGAGGACGGCTGCTTGCGTTGTGGCCGAAACGTCGTGGGAATTATTTTGTTATGTTTTATTTTTTAGTTTAATGTAGTCTATGGGGTCTGTGTGTATGTCTATGGGTCTCTATGGGTCTTTGCATCTCCCGGGGGTCTGTCGTTCTACAGGCCTCTGTGTGTCTCTGCGGGTGTCCATGCATCTTTAGTTGGCCCGCTGCTAGAAATTTCCACACGATGACGACGATGAGCGATCATTCCCGATGGCTCAGTGGTGCAATAAAAATAGTTGAGTCTCTTGTTGCGTTTGCACCGGTGTGTGCGATCGAGGCACGAGAGACGGGCAGACTCGCCTGATCCGCGAGGAGGGCCGGGTCGAGGCCTACCAGTGGAGCGCGGCGATCGGCGGTGACGGCGGCCGCTGGATCAAGATCGGCGACGTCGTGGGCTCCTCGGGGGCCACGCAGCAGACCTCGGGGAGGGTCATGTACGAGGGCAAGGTGACGCACACACCGCACGCACGCACACACACACACGCACGCACGCACACACGCACACACACACGTACACACGCACGTACACACGCACGCACACAAGCACACACGCACACACGCACACACACGCACACACACACACGCACACACACACGCACACATGCACACCGCACGTACACACGCACACACGCACGCACGCACACCGCACGCACGCACAGAGACAAAGATCCCCACCCCGTGCGTAGCCTTGTAACGGACCGTTGGGGCAAGTGCTGTTGGCGAGTAGCAGCAGCTGTGGAGGCCGGCGCTGTGGCGCACGGGAGGGGTGGGTGGCCAGCAACCAGGCCCCATTGGCGATGTTTACTACACATCGCACCGGGAACTCATTTGAGGCTGAGTCGACCTAGGGGAGGCCCAGGACCGGTTCAGATAATCGTCACTGGGTATTGGCTGTGAGCGGGAATTGAGCTCGGGTCGGTGGGTTCGTAGCGCAGCGTAGCGCTAACCGCTGCGCTACCGCTCCCCACACATACAAAGAAAACAAAGATCCCCCGTGTAGCCTTGACAAACTGTAGGGGCAAGTGCTGTTAGCGAGCACCTATAAAGGCGGGCACGGTACACGAGGGGGTGGGTGGCCAGCACCACGCCCGGCCGCCTTTGTCTCCCCAGTGGCGATGTTTACTACACGTCGCACCGGGTACTCATTTGAGGCTGAGCCGACCTAGGGGAGGCCCAGGACCGGTTCAGATAATCGTCACTGGTGGTGTTGGCCGCGAGCGGGAATCGAACCCGGGTTGCCAGGTTTGTAGCCCAGCGCGCCCACCGCTACGCTACTAAACCCCGCTTACACATACACACACTCGGTCACCCGCTCACTCACTCACTCGCACACTCATCAGCCCATCCAGAGGTCGCAACCGGGTACCCGATACCCGTACCCTACCCGATACCCGGCTACCCGTACCTGGCCGGGTACGGGTAGCCGGGTATCCGTTTGCGACCCTGGTGCGGCCGGGTACGGGTACGGGTAGACCGTGAGTCACTGGTGAGTAACTGTTTGTCACTCATTTCCCAACGTCTTGTCTCTTCTGACAATTCAAGTTCCTAGAATCAACCCACCCGTGCCTGCAACGTGGCTTCATCCCAGAGGTCGCAATCGGGTACCCGATACCCGTACCCGATACCCGGCCGGGTACGGCCGGGTACGGGTATGGAATCAAAACCCGTTTGCGACCTCTGAGCCCATCTCATCTCTCGCCCGTGCCACCCGCACGCTCACCCGCACGCTCACCCGCCCGCTCACCCGCCCGCCCGCCCGCCCTGCTGTCGGACACAACAGGAGTACGACTACGTCTTCTCCGTGGACCTCAACGAGGGCGGGCGGCCGCTGAAGCTGCCGTACAACGTGAGCGAGGACCCGTGGGCGGCGGCCAACGCCTTCCTGGGTCGCCACGACCTGTCGTCCCTCTTCCTCGACCAGGTCGCCAACTTCATCGTGGAGAACACGCGCGGCGCCACGCTGGGCGGCGGCGCCGGCGCCGGACAGGCGGACCCCTTCACCGGTGGGCGCCTGCCCTGACTTGAAAAAAATCAAAATTATTCGGTGACGCTGCCGCACTGAGATGATTGAGATTGTGCTTTGGCTGCTGTAAATCTCCGCGTGGTGAATAAGCCGTTTTTGTTGCACTATCATTGGTGGCCAGGAGAACCTCTTCACCGGCGGGTGCTTGTCCTTACTTTGTTTTGGGTCTTTTTCGCTGCTGCTGCTGCTGCTCCATTACTATCACTGTTAGAATGTCTTCCTCTAAACCCAATACGCGGTGCAACTAAAATAATATGGAAGGGTGCCACGCTGGCGAGATGTTAACTACCTCGCCTGGTGTGCAGGAGGTTGTAAGTTCATTCCCGACCCTGACAACTGCTGTATATTTGGAGTTTGCGGTGTCTATCTCTCTCATCATCATCATCATGGTGGCTATGAGATGTTAACTACCTCGCCTGGTATACAGGAGGTTGTAGATTAATTCCCGACTCTGACACCTGCTGTATTTTTGGAGTTTGTGGTGTCTCTCATCATCATCATCATGGTGGCTATGAGATGTTAACTACCTCGCCTGGTGTGCAGGAGGTTGTAGGTTAATTCCCGACTCTGACACCTGCTGTATATTTGGAGTTTGTGGTGTCTCTCTTTCTCCCCGTGATCGCATGGATTTTTTTACGGGTCCTCCGGTTTTTCCCTCCAAATTTAGAATCAACGTCACGCGTTTAGAGTATTTTGGCTGCTATAAACTTTCACGTGATGATGATGATGATAAGCCACTTCGTTGAGCTGTCATCTGTGGCCAGGTCGCCGTGCCGACTATCATAGGTGCTACTTGCCGACAGCACTTGCTCAAGCGGGTCTGTTAGAGGCTGTCCGGGGGATCTTTGTCTTTTGTGTCGCGTGTGCAGGAGGAGGGCGCTACATTCCAGGTGTTGGCTCCGCCCCCCACGGCACCCCCGGTTCACAAGCCACCGCACCCAACCAACGGGACCCATTCACAGGTAACACGTCACGTTCACGGGCGATGTGACACGATCACGGGTAACGTGACACGATCACGGGTAACATGACACGATCACGGGTAACGTGACACGATCACGGGTAACGTGACACACGCGACCCATTCACAGGTAACACGACACGTTCACGGGCGACGCGATACGGTCGTGGGTTCCACGACACGTTAACGGGTGACACGTCACGGTAACGGGTAACGTGACACTTTCACGGTTAACGTGACACTTTGACAGTTAAAGTGACACTTTCACGGGTAACGCGACACACGCGACCCGTTCACAGGTAACACGGCACAGTGAGCCCGCGGTTGACGTGTGAGCAGCGGTCAGCGTGCTGCGCTACTAACCCGGTCACCCGAGTCTCCATTTCCCTGCCCACCGCCACAGACACCAGCGATGGCGATTATCTGAACCGGTCCTGGGTCTTCATTGGCGCCGCTGCTACTCGCCGAACGGCACTTGCCCCATCAGGTGTGAAGGCTACGCGGTGGGGAACCTTTGTCTTTTGCAGGAGGTGGTGCGTACTTGAGCGGTGCCAAGCCGGACGCCGCCACCGCCGTCTCCAGCGCGTTCTTCCCGCAGACCAAGGTCGTGACCTTTGACCAGGCCAACGCCTCCGCCATTGTGGGTGAGAGTTCGAATCCCAGCCGCGGTCAGCACGCGCGTGTGTGTGTGTAGGTGTGTGTGTAGGTGTGTGTGTAGGTGTGTGTGCGTGTGTGTGTAGGTGTGTGTGCGTGTGTGTGTAGGTGTGTGTGTGTGTGTAGGTGTGTGTGTAGGTGTGTGTGTGTGTGTAGGTGTGTGTGTAGGTGTGTGTGTAGGTGTAGGTGTGTGTGTGTGTGCGTGCGTGTGTGTGTAGATGTGTGTGTAGGTGTGTAGGTGTGTGTGTAGGTGTGTAGGTGTGTGTGTGTGCGTGCGTGTGTAGGTGTGTGTGTGTGCGTGCGTGTGTGTGTGTAGGTGTGTGTGTGTGGGGAGCGGTGGTGTGGTAGCGGTTAGCGCTACGCTGCGCTACAAACCCGGCGACCCGGGTTCGATTCCCGCTCACGGCCAACACCACCAGTGACGATTGTCTGAACCGGTCCTGGGCTTCCCCAAGGTCGACTCAGCCTCAAATTAGTACCTGGTGCGGTGTGTAGTAGACATCGCCACCGGGGAGACAAAGGCGGTCGGGCGTGGTGCTGGCCACCCACCCCTTTATGTAACGTTACGGCCTTCATATAGGCGGTCGCTAACAGCACTTGGCCCAACAGTCTGTTAAGGCTACACGGGGGATCTTTGTCTTTGGAGCGGTGGTGTAGCAGTTAACGCGCTGCGCTACGAACCCGGAGACCCAAGTTCGATTTCCGCTCACGGCCAACACTGGTGACGATTATCTGAACCGGTCCTGGGCCTCCCCTGGTGCGGTGTGTAGTAAACATCGCCACCGGGTAGACAAAGGCGGTCGGGCGTGGTGCTGGCCACCCCCCACCCCCTTTGTGTGCCGTGTCGGCCTTCACAGGCCCTACTCGCTCGCAAGCACTTGTCCCAACGGTCCGTCAAGGCTACGCGGGGGGGGGATCTTTGTGTTTGTCGACAGCCAAGATCAGCGACCTCAACAAGCAGGTGGCGGAGACTCTGCGTGCGTCCGACGGCGACCTGCAGGCCCTGCAGACCCTGGCCGACTGCGCCACTAGGCCGGAGGCGGGGGAGACGATCACAACGTCTCAGCTCGAAGCCCTGGAGCTCGTGCTGAGCTGGCCAGATGGTACGGCCCAATGATCGTTCGTTCACTCACCGCTCGCCCGCTCAGTCTCTCGCACACACACACACAGGTAGTGGTACAGCCAAACGATCATTCGTTAATTCACTCGCTCGCACAGGGCGTTGTACAGCCAAACGATCATTCATTCACAAAAAAAAATGTGTCAGTTTTGTTGCCGGATAAAATGGTAAAAAAACAATTATCATATTTTTTACTGGCAAATGAGGTACCAATGGTGTCAATGCTTACCCCAAGCTCTCCAACCCATGTGAGACTAGGCTCTAAGGAAAGCTATCTCGGGTGTGGACCAATCAACTTCAAGGACAGTGCATACATTATCAGAGTTATGTTTTTTTGTTGTTTGCATTATGACTGCAGGTATTGTGGTAAATGCAAACATGACTCCTCGTAAAAAAGGTGTCAGTTTTGTTGCCAGATAAAAGGGTAAAAAAACAATTATCAGATCATTCATTCGTTAATTCACTCGCTCACACAGGGCGTTGTACAGCCAAACGCTCATTCATTCACACAGGGAATGGTACAGCCCCAATGGTCATTAACTAATTAAATCGGACAGCTTTGATTAGAACAGATGGCTACATACAGTGCGAAAGAAGTTCAACATAGACTCACACAGCAGAGACCCGTAGACTCACACAGCAGAGACCCGTAGACTCACACGGCAGAGACCCTTAGACTCACACGGCAGAGACCCACAGACTCACACAGCAGAGACCCTTAGACTCACACGGCAGAGACCCACAGACTCACACAGCAGAGACCCATAGACTCACACGGCAGAGACCCGTAGACTCACACAGAGACCCATAGACTTACACGGCAGAGACCCATAGACTCACACTGCAGAGACCCATAGACTCACACTGCAGAGACCTATAGACTCACACTGCAGAGACCCATAGACTCACACAGCAGAGACCCATAGACTCACACGGCAGAGACCCGTAGACTCACACAGCAGAGACCCGTAGACTCACACGGCAGAGACCCTTAGACTCACACGGCAGAGACCCACAGACTCACACAGCAGAGACCCATAGACTCACACGGCAGAGACCCGTAGACTCACACAGAGACCCATAGACTTACACGGCAGAGACCCATAGACTCACACTGCAGAGACCCATAGACTCACACTGCAGAGACCTATAGACTCACACTGCAGAGACCCATAGACTCACACAGCAGAGACCCATAGACTTACACGGCAGAGACCCATAGACTCACACGGCAGAGACCCATAGACTCACACAGAGACCCATAGACTCACACAGCAGAGACCCATAGACTTACACGGCAGAGACCCATAGACTCACATGGCAGAGACCCATAGACTCACACGGCAGAGACCCACAGACTCACACAGAGACCCATAGACTCACACAGCAGAGACCCACAGACTCACACAGCAGAGACCCACAGACTCACACAGCAGAGACTCACAAACTCACACAGAGACCCATATACTCACACAGAGACCCACAGACTCACACACAGACCCACAGACTCACACAGAGACCCACAGACTCACACAGAGACCCACAGACTCACACAGAGACCCATAGACTCACACAGCAGAGACGCACAGACTCACACAGAGACCCATAGACTCACACAGAGACCCACAGACTCACACAAAGACGCACAGACTCGCACAGAGACCCATAGTTTGTTGTCCTTTCCCCTCGCACCTCCGTTTTAGCACGGTCGGCCACGTACGGTGCGAAAGAAGTTCAACGTACATCCAAAAACTACTCAACTATGTTTTTAGGAAGTCAACATCTCCTAGCCATCGTGATGATGATGAGAGAGACACGCAAACTCCATCCTTCCCCCCCCCCGCCCCTCCGATTAGCACGGTCGGCCGCCACGTACGGTGCGAAAGAAGTTCATCATACACAACACGTTACATGTGTCCGTGACCCCCCCCTCCCCCCCCCCCCCCGTGTCTCACCCCCCCAGAGTTTCTCTTCCCCGCGCTGGACATCCTGCGCCTCTGCCTGCGCCTCGACGTCCCCAACAAGCACTTCCTGGGCGCCGCCTGCGGCCCGGCGCAGCTCTCCCGCCTCCTGGCGCTCACCTCGGCGCCCGGAGCCGGCGCCGCCGCCCCGATGCTGGCGCTGCGAGCGCTCTGCAACGCCTGCAGCCGCGAGCCCGGCCGTCGGCTCATGCGGGAGCGGCGCTCGCTGGTGGTGGAGGGGGCGCTGGAGCTCGTCGGCTCCGACAACCGCAACGTGCAGGTGCCCGGTCCCGACAGCGCTGGCACCGAATCTTTAGCACTATGGCACCGAGACTGTGGCACACAGATTACGGCTCCAGCATTGAGACTATGGCACTAGCACTGAGCGTACGGCACTGAGGCTATGGCTCAGAATATGGCTCTAGCACTGAGACTATGGCTCTAGCACTGAGCTTATGGCACTGAGGCTATGGCTCAGATTATGGCTCGAGCAGAGATTATGACACTGAGCTTACGGCACTGAGGCTATGGCTCAGATTATGGCTCTAGCAGAGACTATGGCACTGAGCTTATGGCACTGAGGCTATGACTCAGATTATGGCTCTAGCACTGAGACTATGGCTCTAGCACTGAGCTTATGGCACTGAGGCTATGGCACTGAGACTATGGCTCTAGCACTGAGCTTATGGCACTGAGGCTATGGCTTAGATTACGGCTCTAGCACTGAGACTATGGCATTGAGACTATGGCTAGCACTGAGGCTATGGCACTGAGCTTATAGCTCTAGCACGGAGGCTGTAGGCCTAACACTGAGTCTGTGTGTCCTTGTCTCCCCATGCCCCCATTGACCTTCGTCCCCATGTCCCCACGCGTGTCCCTGCGCGCGTCTCCCCGCATGTCCCCTCCCCACATCTCCTCGGCGTGTCCCTCCCCACATCTCCTCCCCGTGTCACCACCCCACTCCGCGCGTCTGCAGGTCGCGCTGGCCACGCTGCTGCTCAACTACGCCGTCCTCCACAACGAGTCGTCCTCCTCCGCGTCGTCCCCAAACGGCGACGACGACGAGGCCATGACCCAACTGCTGTCGGCGGCCGTGGCGCTGCTGGAGCGGCGACCGGACCCCGAGGCGTCGTTCCGGCTGCTCGTGTGCGTCGCCACGCTGGTGCTACGCCGCGGCCGCGCCGGCGACGGCGACGCCGCCCGCAGGCTGAGCGACGCGCTGGGGGTGAGGGCCCACGCCGAGCGGTGCGCCGGCCTGCCGGGGGCGCCGGCAAAGCTCACCGAGTGCGCGCGCTCGCTGCTGGCCTTCCTGTGATGGGCGCGGGTCGCTTAGGGTGGTGGGCGGCGGGGTGGGCGGTCACGTACGGTGCGAAGAAAGCTTAAACGTGTCGGACAAAATGGTTTTGCGAGTCCAGGACGTGGAGGCCACAGAGTGGGGGGATTGTTGAAGAACGGCGGCGGTGGGGGGGGACGGGGCACCCGGTGAGGCACGTGGAGGGTGGGGTACAGTGGGACACCGCGGAAGTTTAGTGAGACGTGGGGTAGTTCAGTGGGACAAGGGGGGGGGGGAGTTCAGTGGGACAAAGGGGGGGGAGACACTGCTTGCGTGTCGTTCAGCGGACACGCGTACAACTTCCTTGACGCCGCAAGTCGCCAAACCGCACTGATCGGAGGAGAGCGCGTGCGGCCACCTTGCGGCCACCTTGCGGGCCCCACGCGAGCGTTGGGATTGGGCGCGTGGGGTGGACGACAACGACGACGCACGACAGGGCGTGCGTGGAGGGGGGGGGGGGCGACACGGAGATTGTGGTGGACTCAGAAGGTCACCAAAGTTTGGGTAACGCCGCGAGTCGCCGCGGGGTTTTATCTTTTAGTCTCCTGGTTAAGTGACGACAACGGGTGCCGTTTGCCACCGAGTGACGTTGGCGCCCCCCGCGGCGCCTGCGCCAGGCTAGGTGCACTTTCAAGGCCGCCACGTGAAGCGTCGAAGGCTCGCTGCCGCTGGCAGGAGATGGCTGGCAACTGCACCAGCTTACCGTGCCAACTTGGTCAAATTTAAAGACAACTGCACACACAAAGATAAAGATCCCCTGTATAGCCTTTCCAGACTGTTGGGGCAAGTACTGTTAGCGAGGGGGTGGGTGGCCAGCACCACGCACGGCCGCCTGTCTCCCCCAGTGGCGATGTTTACTACACGCCGCACCAGGTACTCATTTGAGGCCGAGTCGACCTAGGGGAGGCCCAGGACCGGTTCAGATAATCGTCACTGATGTTGGCCGCAACCGAGAATCGAACTCTGGTAGCTGGTTTTGTAACGCAGCGTAGCGCTAACCGCTGCACCACCACTCCCCCTGCACACACGTGGGGGGGGGGGGGGGGGGGGGTGGCACGTGCCCCCCCAATGATCCCATCGAAATCCCTCATTTCGATCGGATCATTGGGGTTTATTAGTAATAAATTGGCATTTTGCGACCCGCACTGCCACTGTGTAGTATATTACTACGTGCCAGGGACTCGATGAGCTGATAGGACAATAGTCTGAGTCCATAATTGGCAACAAGTAACGGCAAAGCAGTTATAAGCGACTCACAGAATTGTGCGCAGTTGCGTATACAGGGACCTTACTAATGGTAAAGTAAAAAAAATTGTCTTCTTGGTTCTTTCGGTAAAGTCACGTAGAAGGGAAGTAATAAAATAATAAAAATAAAACATAACAAAATAATTCTCACGACGTTTCGGCCACAACGCAAGCAGCCGTCTTCAGGTGGAGAACAGGTCTGTCGACAGAATTATTTCGTTGTTTTATTTTTATTATTTTATTACTTCCCTTCTACGTGACTTTACCGAAAGAACCAAGAAGATGAATCCCTGCAGTCACGAAAGCTTTAAATCGAAAGGACACGACTTCCCTGAAGGCATTCACCTTCAGCGAGCGCGATGCTGATCACACCACGCGGTTCCAATTCGACCTCCTTACTTACTAACAACTCCTTACTTACCAACACGTCCTTACTAACAACTTCTATCATTTTTCATTGCTGGAGGGGTTGCCCCCCCCTCCTCTACTTGAAAATCCTGGCTCCTCCGCCATTGCGTATGATGATGTAAGCGACACGTGTCATTAACTCGCCACCCAACACGGCCAATCGTAGGAGATTTGTCACATCAACGAAACGTACCCCCCAACTGGTTACTCGCTCAGCAGTCACCAGCTGTGTGTTGGGGAGGTGAGCCTGCGACAACCGACTACGCCCTCCTCACTCCCCACGCCAAAGACGAGATGTATAATACTGCCTCACCTTTACACCCTCCGTGCACCTGTACATTGAAATTGCCCCGGTGGGTTTCCCTGTACAATGTATATTGGATTTGTGCGCGAGACTGTGAGCGAGATTGGTTTTAAAGATTTCTCGCCCCCAAAATGGTTGGAAAAAAATAAAATTAATTGAACTTTACGGGGGGTTTTTTGTTTTTTGTTTTAAACTCCACAGCGTGCCGCGAGGTTTTTTTTTTAGTGCGGGACCTTTCCAACGTTGCCTCAGCCGAAGATGATAATCGAGTGACCATTCTCATGTAAGCCATCGTCACGCCAAACTCTCGCAAACACGGCGGGGGGCGCTAACCACGGCCGCACCATAGCGCGGCACTTTCAGACACGCCGCTTCTGTGGCCGTCTGGAACGCTCTTTGGATATCAGGAAACCATTAGGACCTGTGCACTTTTAAAATCATCATCTAGTTTGACAAACTAAAACTGCTTTTTGTTTCACTTGCTCCCCCCCCCTGCCCCCCGCATCTCAAGCCGGCGTGAGTAGGTTAAACGTTGAGTTTTATAAGGGCACCACGGGGTGACCAGCCCCTCCCCACCCAGCCCCACCCCTCCCACCGTCCCCACCCAGCCCCTCCCTACCCAGCCCACCCTGCCCCTACCCAGCCCCACCCTCCCCACCCAGCCCCTCCCTGCACGACGGACACAATAATCCCCTGTGGGCTGGTGTAACCAGGAGGTTCCTACCAGTAACAGTTTAGCTTAGAGGTTAGCGAGTCGAGAAGTGAGCGAGTGGTGAAATCAGAGGCCATCTTTATTTGACGGCACACACACAAATCACGAACCCCGTCCATGCTACAAAGAGCAGAATTGTTCAAGGAAAGCGATCGGTCCGTTTTTTAACAGGCACATTAACCAGGTTTGTGGTGCAATGGGCTTGATCAATACGGTTAAGTCTGAAACTTTTGAACAATTCGATGAACCTGTCAAAATAATTCATTGAGGAAGCCGCTGGGAGCTACGCGCTTTTAAAATCGATCTCGATTTAAAAAAAAAACTCATTTAGTTTGAACTGCCTTGTTTGTTGTCAAGCCCCCCCCCCCACCGCACCTCCAATTTAGCACTGTTGGCTACGTACGGTGCAAAAGAAGTTCAACCGTACACACTCACCCAGAGAGCCACAGACTCGCCCAGAGAGCCACAGACTCGCCCAGAGAGCCATAGACTCGCCCAGAGAGCCATAGACTCGCGCAGAGAGCCATAGACTCGCGCAGAGAGCCATAGACTCGCGCAGAGAGCCACAGACTCGCGCAGAGAGCCACAGACTCGCGCAGAGAGTCACAGACTCGCCCAGAGAGTCATAGACTCCCGCAGAGAGCCATAGACTCGCGCAGAGAGCCATAGACTCGCGCAGAGAGCCATAGACTCGCCCAGAGAGTCATAGACTCGCCCAGAGAGCCACAGACTCGCGCAGAGAGCCACAGACTCGCCCAGAGTCACAGACTCGCCCAGAGAGCCATAGACTCGCGCAGAGAGCCATAGACTCGCCCAGAGATCCATAGACTCGCGCAGAGAGTCATAGACTCGCCCAGAGAGCCATAGACTCGCGCAGAGAGTCATAGACTCGCGCAGAGCGCCATAGACTCGCCCAGAGAGCCATAGAATCGCGCAGAGAGTCATAGACTCGTGCAGAGAGCCATAGACTCGCCCAGAGAGCCATAGACTCGTGCAGAGAGCCATAGACTCGCGCAGAGAGCCATAGACTCGCGCAGAGAGCCATAGACTCGTGCAGAGAGACAGTTTGTTGCCCTTCCCCGACACCTCCGATGACGACGGTTGGCTACGTACGGTACGAAAGACGTTCAACGTACACACACAGATTTCAAGTATTTTTCCTTTGGAATGATTGCGGCAAGAGTAGTGCCCGGTGCGGCCAAGTGGCTGGAGGGGTGGAATTTTAAAAACGCATTCCATGAACGGCGCACGAAATCGCGTTCAGCAAGTTCTATTCTTCTTCGTAAGCGGCTGGACTACGACGGCTGCCGCTGTTGTTGACGGTCCCAGCGCCGCTACGACACAGCAGACCAGGGTCAACCCCTGGCGATGGAGTCCACGGACGTTTAACTTCTTCTCGCGTCATCGTACCCTAGCCAACCGTGCTCGCCGGAGGTGCCGCGGGTGGTTGAGTGGGTGGGACGTCAAACGAAAAAGACGCAAAAAGCAGTTTGGGAAGAAATGAGTTTTCAATCTCGATTTGAAGTCACAGAGCTCCCCAGTTGCTTCCTAATACGGCGGCTCCTTTGACTTGCGAACGAGTTTGGTTCCACAGGTCTGTTCGTAAGTCCAACTTTTACTCCCTGTCGATTCAAAATGGGTTCTACTGCGTGTACACGACACACGGGGGGAATGGCTTTAAGTTGTATAATCTCCTGTAGATGTAGATGCCACTGGTTCATGTTCTGCAGATGTAGATGCCACTGGTTCATGTTCTGCAGATGTAGATGCCACCACCGCCATCAATTGCCCGGCGGTTGAACACGGTCGGAACAGGCAACTGGGACGTACGGACCAGGTTTGTGCGTATCTCAACTAGAGTGTTCGTAAGTGGAGGACAGTCCCTGTATCGGAAGGCTACAGATATGCAGTGTCGGACATAACATTGGGGGGGGGGGGGGGTGGGTGGAGTCCCCTACCCACCTCCCCCCCCTAGGTCGACTCGGCCCAAAAGATTACCGCGGTGTAGGCAGCGAGGAAAAACATGCGCGGAGCTGGGCCCTGCATAAACGGGCAGCACGCCAACGCTACCACCACCACCGCCACCACAACCGCCCTCCACCACCACCACAACCGCCCCCACCACCACCACAACCGCGCCCACCACCACCACAACCGCCCCCACCACAACCGCCACCACCACAACCGCCCCCACCCCACCACCACAACTGCCCCCACCACCACCACAACCGCCCCCACCACCGCCCTCCCGTCCCCACTCCGCCACTGATGGGCGCGGTGAAGTATGGCCAACACGCCCTTCGCGATCGACGCGTGGCATCGCAAGGCCTGCATCCAGCAGCGGGTTGAGAGCGTTGCATTTTTTTTAGAAACGAGATAACAGCGCTTGCCTTAATGTGCAACGAAACAAAAAACAATCAAATCGAGAGGCTTCGAGTCTTTAACCCTCTCAACACCACGTCCGAGACGTCTGCAAAGTTCGCAGGGTTGTGTCACGTGCGAGCGGGTTTGGCATTAAATTAATATTCATAGAAGTAGTAGTCGCAGCAGGAGTCGTGCCCGTTGTTTTCATAAAGACGTCGCTACTCACCCGCAGAGAACCGCAGAGAACCGCAGCGGCACGACCGCCGCCACTCTACGGTAGCCGCCACTCTACGGTAGCCGCCACTCTACGTTAGCCGCCACTCTACGGTAGCCGCCACTCTACGGTAGCCGCCACTCTACGGTAGCCGCCACTAGCGCCCTACGGTAGCCGCCACTCTACGGTAGCCGCCACTCTACGGTAGCCGCCACTCTACGGTAGCCGCCACTCTACGGTAGCCGCCCCGCCACTCTACGGTAGCCGCCACTCTACGGTAGCCACCACTCTACGGTAGCCGCCACTCTACGGTAGCCGCCACTCTACGGTAGCCGCCACTCTACGGTAGCCGCCACTCTACGGTAGCCGCCACTCTACGGTAGCCGCCACTCTACGGTAGCCGCCACTCTACGGTAGCCGCCACTCTACGGTAGCCGCCACTCTACGGTAGCCGCCACTCTACGGTAGCCGCCACTCTACGGTAGCCGCCACTCTACGACAGCCGCCACTCTACGACAGCCGCCACTCTACGACAGCCGCCACTCTACGACAGCCGCCACTCTCCGATAGGCGGCTATCGTGCCCCTCCCGCCCGGCACGGCCCTTCCTTGCGTGAGCCTCGGTACTAGCGCCGCCTCCTTCGCGACCCACCGATGAAGTCGATTTAACATTTTTGATTTTCGTTTATTTTTTTTCCCGATGACGTTTAACGCGCGTGAACATCAGAGCAACGGGAAAGAGTGAAATCTTTTCGGCGGAATCGAGGAATTCAATTTGACCCTGAGAACAACGTGCAGTGGGGGGTGGGGGGGGGGAAGCCTGGGAGGGTCCCGGTCATCTTTCGTGCAATGGTGTACAGGCCACGATGTTGCTTCAGTGATTGGGCAGCATGACCGAGGCTTCGGCGCTATCCTGCAGAAAGGGGGCACAGGGCGGTGGGTGGAGAGAACAAGAGACTCAGGAAAAACGTCGCCAAATGGTTTATGGTCCACAAACAACATTTCCAGGAGATTTAAACGAAGCCATTTTTTTATTTTTCGATTTAAAGCTTTCGTGACTGCAGGGATTCATCTTCTTGGTTCTTTCGGTAAGCTCCAAGCTTGGTGGTGTTTCATTCTTCACCTGAGGACGGCTGCTTGCGTTGTGGCCGAAACGTCGTGAGAATTATTTTATTATGTTTTATTTTTATTATTTTATTGCTTCCCTTCTACGTGACTTTACCGAAAAAACCAAGACGACAATTTTTTTTACTTTACCATTAGTAAGGTCCCACTGAGCTGGGTAGCTCTTTTTCGGAAGCGACCCTGACCGTCACAACCAAGTGGGCTCTTCATCATCATCATCACGTGGAAATGTACAGGTAGGAACACCAGGGATTATTTGTCTGTCTGTCGTGCATATCCGGAATTCCGCCCACCCATGCACCTCCCCACCGAACACCGAGCTACACCGCGATTGGTTGACGATGTCAGGGAGGGTGGGGGGGGGAAGGGTAAACACGCCCACTCATCCAACTGCCCCTCCCCTGAACGCCGCGCTGTCCAACCAAGTTCCTACGTGCCCACTCCGAAGGAACGTGTTATAGTAGCAGCCAAATACTCTTAAAACGCGCAATGTCGATTCTAAATGTGGCGGGGGAATAAACACCGGAGGACCGGGAGAAAAATCCACGCGACCACGGGGAGAGACACAAACTCCAGATATACAGCAGTAGGCGTCGGGAGGTCGGTATCTAACACAAGATCTCCTGCACACCAGGCGAGGTAGTCAACATCTCGCTAAGGGTACCCGTTTGCGACCCTGGTGTGGCCGGGTACGGGTAGCCGGGTATCGGGTAGGGTACGGGTACGGGTAGGCCGTGAGTCACTTGTGAGTCACCGTTTGTCACTCATTTCCCAACGTCTTGTCTCTTCTCACAATTCAAGTTCCTAGAATCAACCCACCCGCGCCTGCAACATGGCTTCATCCCAGAGGTCGCAATCGGGTACCCGTACCCTATCCGATACCCGGCCGGGTACGGGTAGCCGGGTATCGGGTAGGGTACGGGTAGCTGTTTGCAACCCTGGTGCGGCCGGGTACGGGTACCCGTTTGCGACCCTGGTGCGGCCGGGTACAGGTAAGGAATCAAAACCCGATTGCGACCTCTGGGCCACGTACCTTGAGCTCCTGCAGGGTCCGGCTCCAGTCCTGGGCGGCGATGTAGGGCACCACGTTCACCAGCAGGCTGGTCACCTTCGCCGCGTTCTGCCGGAACGTCGCCATCACCTTCTCCACGCTCACCTGCGGTGCGGGCGGGACGGTCGCGCGCCGACGGCGGTAAAAAGTTTCGGCATCGCCGACGACGCCGGCGTGGTCGCGAGCTGCTGCCGTGTACAGCAGCAGCAGCAGCAGCGACCGAAGCCGTAGTGTTCTCTTCCGAATCGCCGAGGCCTACGTGAAAACTACGTGCGATGAATGCGCCCCGTGGAGGAGGGCCGTTGCTCAGGAACGTCTCCTATAATGTTCCGGTGGCGAGGAGATGTTGACTACCTCGCCTGGTATACAGGAGGTCGTGGGTTCCATCCCGACCCTGACGTCTGCTGTATATTTGGCGTTTGCGTGTCTCTCTCATCATCACGGTGGCTAGGAGATGTTAGCTACCTTGCCTGGTATACAGGAGGTCGTGGGTTCGATCCCGACCCTGATGTCTCTCTCTCATCATCATCACGGTGGCTAGGAGATGTTAACTACCTCGCCTGGTATACAGGAGGTCGTGGATACGATCCCGACCCTGATGTCTGCATGTCTCTCTCTATCATCATCACGGTGGCTAGGAGATGTTAACCACCTCGCCTGGTATACAGGAGGTCGTGGGTACGATCCTGACCCTGACGTCTGCTGCTGTATATTTGGCGTTTGAGTGTCTCTCTCATCATCACAGTGGCTAGATGTTAGCTACCTCGCCTGGTATACAGGAGGTCGTGGGTTCAATCCCTGTACGCCAGTCGAGGTAGTTAACATCTCGCCACAGTTTAGAGTGGGTGGGCGAGTGCGAGTGATTGCGGAGTGCTTCGAGGTGTTGACATTGTGTCTGCCGGCCGAGTCGGCCCTTGGGAAGAAAATCAAAAGAAGAGCTTCTCGGCTCTACATGCTTTACTTGGGCGAAACAAACTTCAGATTCCGTTACCGTTCCATCTCTTTCGTAAGCACCCCCCCCACCCACTCTGACGCTCACAGTCTCTGTCACCACCAGTACCCCCACACCCCCCCACCTCCCCACGCCCCGCCAACCCCCCCCCCCGGTGTCGCCCGCCACCCGTACCGGCTCGTCGCTGTCCCTCCAGCAGTCGTAGTCGGTGACCATGGCGACGGCGGCGTAGGGCAGCGCCAGCTCGCGCGCCAGCACGCACTCGGGCACGCTCGTCATGTTGACGACGTGCGCCCCCCAGGCGCCGAACAGGCGGCTCTCGGCGCGGCTCGAGAAGCGCGGCCCCTCGATGGTGACCACCGTCCCGGCCACGTGCGCCCGCACGCCCAGCTCGCGCGCGCACGCCGCCAGGGCCTGCGCCGTGCGTGGTGGGGGGGCGGACAGGGGGGTGCGAATCGCTGCGTCAGTGCCGTGTAGCAGAAGGCAACAACAACACAATGGCGTGTCGCAGCGAGGTTATGTTTTTTAATCTCCTGGTTAAGTGACGACGCCGCGGCGCTCGTGCCAGGCGACGTGCACTTGGAGGCTGTCGCGTGCAAGCGGCGGCGGCGGCGTCACCTGGCGCAGACGCGGGCAGAACGGCTCGGCGATGGGGATGTGGCACACGCCGGGGGGGGCCGCCCCCCGCGCCGTCGTAGAAGGTCTGCTCCCGCTTCGTCGTCCTGAGCGGCGGCGAGGATGACAACAAACAACCATGATGACGAGGACAACGAGGATGACAACAATAAACAACAATGATGACAGCGACAACAACCCAACAATCGACGACGAGGATGACAACAACAAACAACAGCAACCAACCGACGACGAGGATGACAACAACAAACAACAACAACCAACGACGACCACCGTCGTCCCCGGGGGCACTCCCGCAGATTTATAAAATTTTAAAAACTCAAAACGGGGGCCAGCCAACCAGCACGAGCGAGCCGGTCACGTGACCAAATCACCTGCCCCCCTCCCCCCAACTGCGTGACCACCACACGCCGCCCCGCCCCCCCCTCTTGCTCCTCCGCAACGCGACGCGCGTCTGCACGTAACGTTGAACTTCTTTCGCACCGCGCGCGTGGCCGACCGTGCAAACAAAAAAATAGTTTTTATCGGAGTTGCAGGGAGCACCGATGAAGAATTCTCTCCGCCCCTCCCGTGCCGGCGTTGTCGCGAGCCGGGCTGCCGGGCCCCGTCGCCGGCAGCCCGGCATCGCCGGCGTAAAATGGGCACCGGCCATCCGCGTACCGGTCGATGAACTGGTCGAGGAAGACGAGGTCGCCGGGCCGGATGTCCTCGCGGAGGGAGCCGCAGGCCGTGGTGGCGAGGAGGTGCGTGGCGCCCGCGGCGCGCAGGGCCCACAGGTTGGCGCGGTAGTTGACGCGCGACGGCGGCAGCGAGTGGCCGCGCCCGTGGCGGCCGAGGAGCAGGCACGGCACGGGTCCCATGCGGCCCGAGATGATCGCATCGGACGGCTGAGAAGAGAGGGGCCGGACCAGGGCGTGGGGAGAGACATTGCAGTGTGTGTAGATTCATTACTAGTACAGCACTCCGGCGGTGTGTTGAAGAGTAAACCCACTACATTTACAATTGGGGCGCATCAACATTTGAACGGTTAGTCGCAACCATGGGGTTCCTACGGGAGGCGCTAAACGTTTACGATGTCACCGTTAACCGAGGGACTATTGCATAGCTCAAGTGGGCCTTACCTGGTCAAATAAATAAAAAAGTTAAACCGTTAATGTCTCCCCGTTGTTTGTTGCCATTGTTGTAGCGCCCGTACCTTCCCATAGGGAGTGTCCACGTGGATCTCCTGCCGGTCCTCCAGAATGTCGGGGTCATCCAGACCCGTGCCCCCGATGATCCCAATCTGTCCGGGGGGAGGGGGTGGTGGCGGCAAGGGAACGGGGGGGGGGGGGGGAGAGACAGGGGGCAGAGTTACAAGATGAACCCATTTCCCGTTCCGAGACGTCCTGAAAGTTCCAGTGGCGGGGGGTGGGGGTCCCTGTTCACCGCCGAATCTCGGTATCGAGCGAGCGGGTTCGGCGTTAAATGTTGATTCGGAGAGAGACGGAGGGGTAGCAGCCCGTTGTCGTTACGAAGACGCCGTTACTCAGCCGTAGAGAAGCGCCAAAACCTGTGCCAGGCGCGCCCCTCCCTTCCGCGCGGCATTGCGGGAGCCTCGGTAAGTCTCATCTTGTTTCTAAGTTTTTCTTCCGATTCCGTTGCGATGACGTACGGACACGTCATCGCAAGCCCTTTCCCGTGGATAATATTGACAACAGGTTTTTTTGGGTTTAGATTGCGATGACGCGATGGTCAAAAGGGTTCAAGTTGATCTTCGGTTTAAAATCAGGCTCAGGACGTGAGAGAGCGAGAGAGAAGAGGAGGAGGTTTAACACGCGGCAGGCTTTCGCGACCAACACCATCCCGAGTAGAGGTACTGCGGGTGAGATCGCGTAAATATACATTCTTGACTTAAAGCTTTCGCGACTGCAGGAATTCATATTCTTGGGTCTTTCGGTAAAGTCACGTGGACAGGTTCAAAGATGACGTGACTTTACCGAAAGACCCAATAAATAAAAAGACAACGTTGTGTCGTTAAACCCGCCGCCGCCGCCACCACCCGACACAGTCAATCAGCAAGAGGGGGGGGGGGGGGGGCGGGGCTTTGAGTCACGTGCACAAAACGCGGCCAATTCGTTACCGGTAACAGCGCTCACCGGGTGAGTGTTGGAAAGCGAAACCCACAACGACATCGACCACGGCGGGGAGGTGAGTCTCGTTCGCGAGAGCGACCCGGGGTCGCGGGAGACGCGACGCGGGCCAAATAAGAATGCCGCGGAAACGAAACCGAAGTACTGCGAGTCGTCACGTGACCCACGCACCACCTCCCGTCCAGCGGCACGCATGTGAAAACATCGTGCGAGACTTGTTTTTTCCCACGCCCTCCAAGGTTATATATATATGTGTATGTTTTACAATGTATGTTTCAAATCAGAATATTTATTTCTCCTGGGAGGAATCTGACGAGCTAAAATCAACCCGTAAAAACAAAGTTTTTCACTATAAATCCTTTATATGCGTGGCATCGGTTTTATTTTATTATTCATTTCTGTTTTTCTTGAGTAAGAGTTTCATTTTTATCACATTGGTATTTTAAATTAAATATGAAAATTTTTTTTTCCTAAAAAGTGGAAAATTTTGGAAAAAAATTTTCACGAAAATTAATTGTCAGGCACAACGAGTCTGTGTGCAAAATGTCAGCTCGATTGGATCACGGGAAGTGGGTTAAAAAACGACCGAAAGATTTGCACGGTCGTAAGCGCGCAAGCAAGCAAGCAAGCGAACTTAATATAAAGGATTTAATAAAATCACTTCTTCCCTCCCCCCCCCCCAACAACGCCCAGTTCAGTTTCGCAGATGTAAATCGATCGATTCCCCCAAATAAAATCGGGAATACAGATTCCCACGATTTGCAAATGGGGTGAGACCTAACCTGGGTGGAGGGGGGGGCTAGGAGATGTTAACTACCTCTCGCCTGGTGAGCTACGGAATTCCAAAAAAAAATGTCTCTTGTTATTTTGGTTTCAAGAAGCCCTCTGGCCGAGATCAATGCTCATTTGTAAATCGTACAGGACTCGTGTGCGAGCCCTGGGGCCCACACTGCGTGTTCTAATGGTCATGTCAGAAGGCACCGGGTCTACACATCACTAAACTATTTCAATTTTGTTTATTTGACCAGGTAAGGCCGCACCGAACTGCTACGTAGCTGATAATTGGTTTTTTACCCTTCTATCTGGAAACAAAACTGACACCTTTTTACAAGGAGTCATGTTTGCATAGACCACAATACCTGCAGTCATAATACAAACAAAAAACATAACTCTGATAATGTATGCATAACTCTGATAATGTATGCAGGACAGTGCATACATTATCAGAGTTATGTTTTTTTGTTTGCATTATGACTGCAGGTATTGTGGTCTATGCAAACATGACTCCTTGTAAAAAAGGTGTCAGTTTTGTTGCCAGATAGAAGGGTAAAAAACAATTATCATATTTTTTTACTGGCAAATGAGGTTCCAATGGTGGTACATAGCTCTTCGTCAGAAGCGACCCTGACCATCGCAAATGAGATCTCGACGAAGTGGCTTCATCATCACCGTGTGGAAATATACAGCAGCAGCCAACATACTCTAAACACACACACACACGTTTCTCAAATGTGGAGCAGAAATCCAGAGAAGCCGGAGAAAAATCCACACAACCACAGGGAGAAAGCGAGAGAGCCATTCAAACTCCAAATATACAGCAGCAGGCGTCAGGGTTGGGATCGAAGCCACGACCTCCTGTAGACCAGGCGAGGTAGTTAACATCTCCTAGCCACCGTGATGATGATGAGAGACACGCAAACTCAAAATATACAGCAGCTATCAGTCAGGCATCGAACCCACGCCCTCCTGTATACCAGGCGAGGTAGTTAACATCTCCTAGTCACCGTGATGATGATGAGACACATATACAGCAGGCGTCAGGGTTGGGATCGAACCCACGACCTCCTGTATACCAGGCGAGGTAGTTAACATCTCCTTGCCAAAATCAACTCTTGGATGGTTTCAAGCGCTGGGGAGGCTACGTTGTCTGGAGGCTCAGAATGGCCATGTCAGAGACAACTTCTTAACCCGGCAACCTCTGAGAACGAGGGTTCAACCCCCCCCCCCAATATTCAAATATGCTCAAAATGTCCCCCCCAATATATTGCTATAAACAATCTTAAAAAATAAATATTGTCTATACTATATAAATAAAAACAAATTGCTAAACCTTGGCCACAATATCTGGACTCGTCTTCATACAACAATGCATAGATTTCCGTTGATACGATTGTGGTTATGGTTGTACTTTATAAATCCCTAATCTCTGCCATTACATACAATGAAACAAGGTAAAAAAAAGTAAAACAGAGCAATGCAATACAATACACTATTAGACATTGTCAAAATAGATAAAAAGTCCATCCCACGCCACGTGTCAGTGATTTTTTTTATATTTTAGGCAGGAAATGAGTTAAAAAATTTAGATTTTTTTTCTGGTGGGGGTCCCTAGACCCCCTGGGAGATTTGGTCCCCCCCAATGTTCACTCCATGGCGATGGGCTTGCTTTAATCAGACCTCGGGTCGCTCCATCTCTCGCTCCCACTCGATGGGTGCATAACGGCTGCGTTCAGCATCACTGCTACGAGAGGAGACGGAGCGATGAAATACAACAAAAAATAATCATAATAATCCGCGAGAAAGAGCTTGGAAGCTCATCGGATTTCTCCAGGATTAGAATACGGACTCTGATCGTGGGCTGGGATGTATCGCTATCATCGCAAAGGTCGGCTGCTGGGTTGACCCCTCGTGGGGTCGGCTGCTGGGTTGACCCCTCGTGGGGTTGGCTGCTGGGTTGACCCCTCGTGGGGTTGGCTGCTGGGTTGACCCCTCGTGGGGTTGGCTGCTGGGTTGACCCCTCGTGGGGTTGGCTGCTGGGTTGACCCCTCGTGGGGTTGGCTGCTGGTTGACCCCTCGTGGGGTTAGCTGCTGGGTTGACCCCTCGTGGGGTCGGCTGCTGGGTTGACCCCTCGTGGGGTCGGCTGCTGGGTTGACCCCTCGTGGGGTCGGCTGCTGGGTTGACCCCTCGTGGGGTCGGCTGCTGGGTTGACCCCTCGTGGGGTTGGGTGCTGAGTTGACCCCTCGTGGGGTTAGCTGCTGGTTGACCCCTCGTGGGGTTAGCTGCTGGGTTGACCCCTCGTGGGGTGGGCTGCTGGGTTGACCCCTCGTGGGGTCGGCTGCTGGGTTGACCCCTCGTGGGGTTAGCTGCTGGTTGACCCCTCGTGGGGTGGGCTGCTGGTTGACCCCTCGTGGGGTTAGCTGCTGGTTGACCCCTCGTGGGGTCGGCTGCTGGGTTGACCCCTCGTGGGGTCGGCTGCTGGTTGGCCCCTCGTGGGGTTGGCTGCTGGGTTGACCCCTCGTGGGGTTGGGGGTGGTGCCTTCGTGTCCAGCAGTGGATAGAGATCGTGGCTGGATGATGATGACGACGATGATGATGATGATGACGATGATGAAGATGATGACGACGAAGATGACGACGATGAAGATGATGACGACGATGAAGATGATGATGACGACGATGACGACGAAGATGAAGATGACGACGACGACGACGAAGATGACGACGATGAAGATGAAGACGATGATGAAGATGATGATGACGACGATGATGAAGATGACGAAGAAGATGATGAAGAGGATGATGACGACGATGATGAAGAGATCGAACGGAGACGCGCTTCAGATTTGGAGAGCGACCCGCGCCGCGTTCCGGCAACGAACACGTGCGTTACTGTACAGAGACAAAGGTCCCCCGTGTAGCCTCTAGCAGACTGTTGGGGCAAGTGCTGTTAGCGAGCACCTATGAAGGCCGGCACAGCACACGAGGGGGTGGGTGGCCAGCACCACGCCCGGCCGCCTTTGTCTCCCCAGTGGCGATGTTTACACACCGCACCAGGTATTCATTTGAGGCCGAGTCGACCTAGGGGAGGCCCAGGACCGGTTCAGATAATCGTCACTGGTGGTGTTGGTCGTGAGCGGGAATCGTAGCGCTAACCGCTGCACCACCGCTCCCCTTTGGCCACGACACGCAAAGACACTCACAGATACACACAGACAAAGATAAAAGATCCCCCGTATAGCCTTGACAGACTGTAGGGGCAAGTGCTGTTAGCGAGCACCTATGAAGGCCTACACACACACACAAAGACACACACACAAAGACACACACACACACACAAAGACACTCACACACACACAAACACACTCACACACACACAAAGACACACACACAAAGACACACACACACAGACACTCACACACACACAAAGACACACACACACAGACACTCACACACACACACAAAGACACACACACACAAACACAGACACTCACACACACACAAAGACACACACACAAAGACACACACACACAAACACACAAAGACACACACACACAGACACACACACACACAAACACACACACACAGACACACACACACACAAAGACACTCACACACACACACAAAGACACACTCACAAAGACACAACCACACAAAGACACACACAAACACACAAAGACACTCACACAGAAACACACGCCGACACTCACACACGCCCCCAAACACAACAACAACAACAACAGCAACAACAACAACAACCACCATCATCATCACCCATGGTCGATCCACTGCTGGGATGAAGTTTCCGACGCAACCGCCCGTTGCGATGTAACTCACAACAACAACAAACAAACAAACAACAACAAACAACAGTCGAAGGGGCGGCGGGTGACAGTCGCCTTCGTTGACTAATTCAGGTCGCGTCGTCGTCGTCATCGTCGTCGTCGTAGGCGGCAAGAAAGGCGATCAAACACGAGTCGGTTACCTTCACGGCAGCCATAGCGGTTTCGAACACGCGCGCAAACCCCCCCCCGCTCATGTCGAAGGCCGAGATGGTTTCGTCCAAACCGAATAAGCCACGCCCCCAAACCCCCCCCCTTCTGAGTTGACTTCCCCACAGTTGGACTCGCCCAGCCTCGCGCTGTGCTTTATAGATGGGGCAGGGATGTACCACTGTGAACTGTGGGAGGGGGGGGGGGGGTTAGGTTGATCCATTACGAATGTTTTTGTACAAGTATGAACGATCTTTCTTTGGTTGTTTCGGTAAAGTCACGTAGGAGGGAAGTAATAAAATAATAATAAAACATAATAATAGTTCTCAGAATAAAATAATGAAAATGAAACGTAATAAAATAATTCTCAGAATACTTTTATTATGTTTTATTTTTATTTATTATACCTGTACAAACATTACGAATGGTTGTACAGGTATCAACGATCTTTCTTTGGTTCTTTCGGTAAAGTCACGTAGAAGGGAAGTAATAAAATAATGAAAATAAAACATAATAAAATAATTCTCAGAATTATTTTATTATGTTTTATTTTTTATTATTTTATTACTTCCCTTCTACGCGACTTTACCGAAAGAACCAAGAAGATGAATCCCTGCAGTCACGAAAGCTTTAAATCGAAAGGTATCAACGATGTCGGTGATTGAAAGTTGTTTTTGATAGGCGCATGGTGGAGTAGGAGCGGTGGCGCAACGGTTAGCGGCACTTTCCCGGTGAAATCGAAAAAGAGATTTGGAGCTCATCGGATCCCTCCGCACTGAGTGCTCATTTGAGGCTGAGTCGATTTTCACAACAACAACCGCCATTCGCCACTAAGTGGCGGTGACGTCACCACGACGCTTGTGCCAGGCCATGTGCACCTTGAGGCCACGTGAAGTGTCGAACGCCCGCTGGCAGGAGGTCAGGGGGCAGACCCAGGTGCCACGGGTCGACTGACTGAGATGACCGAGATGACTGGCTGATGCACCACCTGTGCCCCCTACTGTGCCAACTTGCTGTGCTTTAGCCACCCGGCGCTCCGCTCGTTGTTGTGAGCGTCGCTCCTCCGCCCTCCGTTGTCGTTGGAGGGCGACTGCCTCCAACTGCCCAGTAGCGTCCTTCACGAGCCTCCTCCACAGAGGCCGATCTTGACACCGCTGGTACCAGTCATCGGCAAGTCCACTCAGCTCCACGTCCTCCTGTACCACATCACTCCATCTCTTCTCTAGCCCGTGCCGCGCCCGTTTAGCCCCTTCGATCCGGCCGAACAAAAGCTGTTTGGGCAAGCGGTGGCTGGGCATGCGGGCTACATGACCCAGCCAACGCAGCCTTGCCTGCCGGAGGAGTTTACCGATGGGACTTTGTCCAGATCTTTCAAGGATTTGTGAGCTCCTCACACAATCCAGCCTGGTCAAACCCATGATGGATCGTAGGCAGGCCAGCCTAAATGTCTCCAACCGGCGAAGATGCTCCACACAGACACACACACAGAGATACACACACAGAGATACACAGAGAGATACACAGAGAGATACACAGAGAGATACACACAGATACAACTCACAGATACACACACACAGATACACACAGATACACACACACAGATACACACACAGAGATACACACACAGAGATACACACACAGATACACACACCGATACACACACAGAGATACACACACAGAGATACACACACACAGAGATACATAGAGAGATACACACAGATACACACAGATGTCAGCGTTAGAATCAAATTATTTAGACTGGAGGAATCAGCGCGTCGCGCCGGGTTCGGAAACCCGAGTTCGATTCCCGCTCACGGCCACCAACACCCCTGGTGACGATGATCTGAACCGGTCCTGGGGCCTTCCCCTAAGTCGACTCAGCCTCAAATGAGTACCTGGTGCGGCGTGGTGTCGTAAACATCGTCACTGGAGAGACAAAGGCGGCCGGGCGTGGTGCTGGCAATCCACCCCCTCGTGTGCCACAGCGCCGGCCTTCGTAGGCGCTGCTGCTCGCTAACAGCACTTGCCCCAACAGTCTGTGAAGGCTACACGGGGGACCTTTGTCTTTGTGGCAGCTGTCTCCTCGTGCGCTGCACTGGAGTGGCTGTGCGCTCCGCGCTACGAGACTTTCGCTCTGTGCGCTACTTTGTTTACTGCCACATTTAAACTCTAAACTTTTGATTTATTTTCCCAGTCAAGGGCGCACTTGAGCCGCTTAGCTCTTCAGAAGCGACCTGGTCATCACCAATGACAGCTCAACGAAGTGGTGGCTTCTTATCATCATCATAATCACGTGGAAATGTAAAGCAGCAGCCAAATAAATCGGAACGCGTGTTTCTAAATGTGTGTGGGGGGGGGGGGGGGGAAACCGGAGGACCCGGAGAAAAATCCACGCGACCACGGGGGGAGAGAGAGAGACAAGCAGACTCCAAATATACAGCGGCAGGCGTCAGGATCGGGATGGAACCCACGACCTCCTGTATACCAGGTGAGGTAGTTAACATCTCCTAGCCACCGTGATGATGAGAGAGAGAGAGACACGCAAACTCCAAATATACAGCAGCAGGCGTCAGGTGGGGATGGAACCCACGACCTCCTGTATACCAGGCGAGGTAATTAACATCTCCTGGCCAACGTGATGATGATGAGAGAGACACGCAAACTCCAAATATACAGCAGCAGGCGTCAGGGTCGGGATCGAACCCATGAACCTCCTGTAAACCGGGAGAGGTAGTTAACATCTCCGGGCCAACGTGATGATGATGAGAGAGACACGCAAACTCCAAATATACAGCAGGCATCATGGTCGGGATAGAACCCACGAACTTCCTGCACACCAGGCAAGGTAGTTAACATATCTTAGCCACCGTGATGATGATGAGAGAGAGAGAGAGAGACACGCAAACTCCAAAAAACAGCAAGCGTCAGGGTCGGGATCGAACCCACGACCTCCTGTATACCGGGCGAGGTAGTTAACATCTCCTAGTCCAAATGAAATCTTGGATCGTTTCAAGCGCTGGGGAGGCTCCGTTGTCTGTAGGCTCGTAATTCCCATGCCAGAGACAACTTCTTAAGCCGGCCACCTCTGAGAACACGGGTTCAATCAGAGCTTGGATGCGGGTCTCTCTCTCGATGGGTTCATCATGACCCATGTCAGAGGACACCCTGTGAATATAGTAATAGGTTTTTACCCTTTCAACTTGTACAAAAACTGACACCTTTATACAAGGCATCATGTTTGCAATAACCAAGCAGTCAAAATGCAAACAAAAAGAAACAACTCTGATGATGATAATTATATGCACATCCTGTGAAGTCAGTGGGGCCCTTCAGGTGATACAGCAATCGTGCTGTGACGGTTCCACCTGAAGACGGAAGCTTGTGTTGCCTCCGAAACGTCGTGATTTTTATTTAATTTTTAGTTTACTTTTATTAATTTAAATTTAAATGTTTTACCTACGTGACTTTACCGAAAAAAAAACTAAGAATATGAATACCTCTTCTTGGTTCTTTCGGTAAAGTCACGTGACTTTACCGAAAGAACCAAGAAGATGAATCTCTGCAGTCACGAAAGCTTTAAATCGAAATATGAATACCCTTCAGGTGTAGTAGCGAAAATCAAACGCCAGGTGGCAGCAGACACACGCGCACGGAATTAAATCACGAATCTCGTTCGGCCCGTCCTTCAGCACCCCGAATCAATAGAGCGGACAAAAGCCATCTTTGCCGAATCGATCTGCCCATCCGCATTATAAAAAAACAACAACATTGTTTTACACATCCCATCAATCACACGGCCCTTCTGAGAGGACGCACGCTCTGGGGCCCCGGCGTGGCGACATCGATCTGAGCACGCCCCCGACTCCGCCCTAATATTGCGAGCCAATACTCTTAGTTAAATTTCGATTTAAAGCTTTCGTGACTGCAGGGATTCATCTTCTTGGTTCTTTCGGTAAAGTCACGTAGAAGGGAAGTAATAAAATAATAAAAATAAAACATAATAATATAATTCTCACGACGTTTCGGCCACAACGCAAGCAGCCGTCCTCAGGTGAAGACCAGGTCTGTCATTCAGACGCTGTCTCCCCGACAGACCTGGTCTTCACCTGAGGACGGCTGCTTGCGTTGTGGCCGAAACGTCGTGAGAATTATTTTATTATGTTTTATTTTTATTATTTTATTACTTCCCTTCTACGTGACTTTACCGAAAGAACCAAGAAGAATACTCTTTAGTTCTTTCGGTAAAGTCACGTAGGTAAAAAAATGAAATTAAAATGAAAAAAATAAAAATAAAAAATTCACGACGTTTCGGAGGCAACACAAGTCTCCGTCATCAGGTGGGACCGTCACAGCCAGATTTGCTGCATCAAGCGAGGCAGGGATTCAAGATGCAAGCTCTTAACTACGTGACTTTACTGAAAGAACTAAGAGTATGAATCCTTGCAGTTACGAAAGCTTCAAATCTAGAATTGCGAGCCAATCTTAAAAAAAAAATCTAAACATTTCTTTGCTGTGCTTTCATTTCTCCGACTCGGGCTCCAACACCCCCCCCCCGTCATAGGAACGTGGAATTTCTAGGGTAACTAATGACGATGACTGCTTTCGCCCAATGCTTGATCCAACCGGGTCAATGCTAAGTCAGCCACCCCCCTTGACCGGCATTTGATTCGGGTAATTGAATTGAATTCACGTAATTGCATCACGGCGCCTGTGCAGAATTGGGATCTCAAAGATCCCCCGTGTAGCCTCTAACAGACTGTTGGGGCAAGTGCTGTTAGCGAGCAGTATCTACGAAGGCCGGCACGGCACACACAGAGGGGGTGGGTGGGTGGCCAACACCACGCCCGACCGCCTTTGTCTCCTCCAGTGGCGATGTTCACTACACACCGCACCAGGCACTCATTTTGGGCTGAATAGACCTAGGGGAGGCCCAGGACCGGTTCAGATAATCGTGATATGCAAATTATTTTGTCAAGGCGCCCTTCCCCCCCTTCCAACCCAGCTTAAA